AGGCGGGTTCGCGCCTCCCGTTCTTCTCCGGAAGGTCAAGCCCATTAATTCTCTTGCTCTCACACCTTCCCCCGCGCCCAGCCCGGGGAGCGGAGCGCGCGGAGTGAGGAGCCGGTGTCCCGCCCCGGCCGCGTGCGGGTGATGGCCGACCTGCCCCGTCCATCCTTCACTTACCCCGTTCGCCAGAGCGGCCCCCTCGGGACGCCCCTCACCTCCTCCTAATCTCCTCTGGTCCTCAAATAAAATTATTCAGCAGCTCCTCCAAAGAAGTGCCTTAGGCACTTGATTAAAAGCCCAAAGAGGCTTCGGGGAACTTTTTTCTCCTGCTGGAGCAGCACCGGCCAATGTCCCTGGTTTTCCTGCTAGTTACCCGCGTACTGGCCAGAATTCACTGAACGCGTTATGGCTCAGATGGCACGCGTGGCTCGAATGGCACTGGCTAGGGCAACGGTGGGGACACAGCTAAAGGTTTGGAGGGTGTGCTGGAGGACAGGGTACGTCTTCAGTCTACATCCTTACTGAGGAATGGTTTGTGTTTAGAACCAGAGAAACCTGAATCCAAACTGCCGGCCGTGTTTGTGCCACGGCCCCCGCCTGAAACGTGGCGCGTCAGTCTCCCTGCGCTTCGCTTTGCCTTCTCCAGGCCCGCGTGGGGTTGAGGGCTTGACCTTCAGGGTGAGGCAGCAAGTTCCTCCTCCAGCTCTGCCGCCTGATAACTCAGTGTCCTCGGGCAAGTGTATTTAACTTTCTTAAGCCTTAGTTTCCTCATCTATAAAATGAGGATAATATCTCTCCAGTGGATTGATATTAACTTGATAACATAATGTAAAGAGTTTAACAGTACCTGGAACACAATCATTCAATCATTGATAGTGGCTGTTACAATTATTATTGAAAAGAATTGTAATTGTTTTTGCACTTCACGAACTATTTGCTAGACTCAAATTTTGATGCTCATTTTTATTAAATAGAGAAAGTAACTGGGTGTAAAAATCTCCACTACTCAGTGTTTAACGTGAAACCAAAACCATTGGCTGTTTTCAGCCTTCCCAAAATCAGTTTGCTTTCTTTGGGCATGTCAATACGGATTTATCAATCATGCTGATGTTAAGACTTGTGGACAGATGAACACACACATCAGTTTTATTTCTCTCTGTCTCTGTCTCAGTCTATATATATGTACATGAAATATTTATTACACTTTTAGAATACAGTATTAGCAAATTATGTTATAGGTGGATGAAATGAATCCCTTAAACTAACTTGAGATATTTCTCCAAAACACAAAATCAAAATGGTACAGTTTTGCAAGTATCTACATTGTGAGGTAAGTGGTTTAGCCAGTGATTTGGATTTGGGGCTTGATAACTTTTTTTATGATGAGGCCATATTGAACCTTTAGAAATAGGGTTGAATTCCTAGTTGTTAATTATTTTATAGAGAAATTTATCAGAGATTGAAGATGGAAACAAAATATAAAATTTAATTTATGGGCATACATGAGAATTCTAATAACTTACAAGATAAAGTTAAATCACTTAGGCCCATTGGTTTCATAAACAATTAAGTCTGGCTCTAGATATTCTAATTTCTAAACTGGAATTTTTTATTTTAAAAATGTATATAATATATGGGAGGAATCCTATGCATGAATATATACGTTTTACCCAAGTTTCTGCAGATGGGATTGGTTGTGTCTGGTAATTGGATACAGTTAAATGTTATATAAAGTTTCAGTACTATGCCAAAATATAAAGTACAAGAATAAAAATTCCATTTTCTTTTTGTTCCAGGTTCTCTGGGAGATGCTAACAAGGGAGGTCCCCTTTAAAGGTTTGGAAGGATTACAAGTAGCTTGGCTTGTAGTGGAAAAAAACGAGGTAAGACTACGATTCTCCATTCAGGTACATAGATCAGAAAACAGTATTGGGGTTTTGCAAAAGACTTTTTCATCTTCTTCAAATTGAAAGTAAGTTCACGCTTATGGAAAGATTAGCAGTAGGAGCTAACACAAAGGGTCAAAGTGATGTTATTCCTCATGAATGGACCCTTTACATCTAATTGTTGCAGCTTCACGTCGTGATGCTGTAGATCAAAAATTGTACAAGTACTGTACTAGTTTCTCAGTCTCAATTGTAAAACCTAGGGGTTTGTTCTTAGTGATGAAAGAAGCCATTGCGTCCAAGGTAGGGGAACAGTTTAACTCCATCTCCTGCGTTTAGGACATCTTTTTTACTGGCTGGGAGTTGATATATCTGTAAGAGACCTTCAGCTACTTCAACTTACCTCTCCCAGCAGGAGTCACTATAGTACAAGAAACTGTCGCTTAGATGAGAATTTCAAAAATAAAAGAAGAAAAAATAGTTTCAAAAAAGGGAAAAATTACAGTTTTGCCACCTACGTTGAACACTACATTGAAGATGAGCTCCTCGCTGGCATTGGCGAGGCAGTGGCGTCGCTGCTCGCCTCTTCATGCAGAGCCTTTCCATTTCAAAAGGACTTCAGTGGCGTAAACACCGTTTGTGCTGTGTCCCCAGCCTCGCTTTTCTGCTTCCCACAAATTGAGGCTTTCAGTTAGTTGGACCTATGAGCCTACATCAGAGAACATGGTACATTCATATCAAAGAGAGCAACTACATTTTGAAAGGTTTAAAATTGTGACTGAAACGCACAGCCATGGAAATTTTCAGCATAAGGATGAAGCATCCAATATCACGGTTAGGAGAACTTAGAGCACGCCATGGAAGCGCGCGGTTGTGTTTGCAATGCAAAACAACTTCATTTCACAAAATGTCTTCATCCCCAGGCCTTGTCTGTGCCCTCCACAAAGGGTAAGAGTGTAACCTGAGGATAAAATAATTTGCAAACGATGAATATAGAGAGAGAGAGTCCCTTTTTAATGCTTTAAAAGACTTAGATAGATCTGCTCCCCATGTGAGTGCAGGAACAAACTAGATTAATCAAACAGCTGCTCTTGACTAAGGGAGACCAAGTTTCCATATTTTAGATCCCGTAATCCAGAGTTATTAATTTGTCCTCGTGTACCTTTGAGAGTGGATGAAATGTTCGTGATAGCTGAACTTGATAGGAGAGAGCTGCCAATTTAAGAAACATGAAAAGGAGTTATATTCAAGAATGTGTCCTGCCCATTGTTTCACGGGAGCTGCTCTGTTTTAATTAAATGTGAGAATAATTCCCGGTGTGCTATTAAATCAGGCCTCACATACAGGATAACCAATATTTTCATGATATGAGAACCCCCTTGTTTCTGTTCTGTTTCTTTTGCCAGTGAGATGATTAGGTATTTGGTTCTGGGTTTACAAATGAGAGTGAAGAAAGTGATCGACCTTCTGTTGACTTTGGAGCAGAGCAGTCAATGTCGTTTTTCCCCTCTACCATGTTTCAAGATAAACTTTTTTAAAAGCTAACTGGACCCTCCAAATATGTGTAAGACAGAATAATTAATACTTTAAGTCATATTTCATCTAAAGGATGGCAGAAGAGGTATAAATCTAAAGCACTTTCAAAACATTGGAATGTCCATCAAGGAATTTTAAAGCTGAAGAGAAAAATGAACTTAGAGGGTGCTTTTGGATAGTTGACTTGAGGGTTGGGAACCATCCATAAGTAACCTTCAGAACTTCCTGTACAAGGAGGCCTTCTCCCCAGGGATCCCTTAGAGTGCACTGTTTATCCGTGGTGTGAGCTTATGATCAGCTAATACCTGATGAGACTGCTCACTTACCTCCCATACTGTAGTTACTACTTATACTAGTAAGTTGAAAATATCCCACATGGTGAAATAAGTTTTTCTCAATTTCCTAATGAACTTGAGGAAAACTGGGTATTAAAATGATATTTACTTATCTGTCTATTCTTATTCTGCACAATATTTATTTGTCAAAAATACAGACATTAAGTATAAAAGTAGTTTCCATTGTCATTCAAGAAGGTGTCTTGGGTTATTGACTTGAAGAGACAAAGCTGTATTTTTTTTTTTTTTAAACAGGCCTCATTTAAACAAAGAATAGTATGTTTAAACTTTCAGGGAAACATATAAAATGTGAACTAGTCACCCTAGAATGTACTTATATCCAAATATTGGGGTTATCTTTTCTTGTTAACATTTTATTCTAAAGAAATGATAGACTCACAAGAAGTTGAAAAATATAAAGAATTCTGTGTTCTGTTCCCCTGCCTTTCCCCACTGATGACATGTGAGTGTAGGATAATATCAAAACCTGGAAATTGACATTGCTACATTACTCTTAACGAGACTGTAGACCTCATTTGGTTTCGCCGTTTAGGATTGCTTTTTGCATCTATAGGAAGATCAGTACTTTCTAAAAATTATATCGGAAGGCCTTTGGTTCTAAACCCTAAATAATGAAATAAGACCTTTAAACAATGATTTTTCCTAATATTAAATCCTATTAAAACTAGATCCATAAAGCACTGTTAAACTTTACAAAGCAAACAATGAACCCTTATAGAAGGCATGAAATTAAGATGACATTACTAATAAATTTTTAACATGTAACAGATATGTATATTTGCCTTTATAATTAACATAAAACTCAGTGGTCATTCAGAATGGTCTGGCAGCATAATTTTTGTCTTTATAAATACTTAGATTCTCATATAAAATGTGTTTTGTATTCTTGATTAACATAGAACTCCTCAAAAAACTTAATTGTTGTTGACTGTACTTTATAAAAAGATAATAAACTTGACTTAAAAATAATTTTTGCATCTTACATAGAAAACGATGCAGAATAGAATGTGACCTTTAAAAAATGTCCTCTCTAATATTTTCATTGTTTTCAGAGGGTCTGGGGGTTGTCTGTGCCTATGTTTCTGGGTTGCTGGCTTTTTCAGCTTGAAGTCTGGTGTATATGAAGCAAGAACCAATATTTAAGCTTTAAGTAGTATCACACACCTGGTGCTAATATCTGATTATGTCAGAGTGTTTTAATGCATTAGGAATGCCCACAGTTACGTCATCAGCACTTAAGTATTTTGGATATTTTAAAGTGCTTTTTAGTGCATCCAAATAATGCCGTACATAGAGTCTGAGGCTAGATTTAATTAACTGCTATTTGACCATGTTAGATCATTTAAAATAATTACGTGTCCCAGATATGGTACCTAAAAAGTTTGTCAGTCAGAAAAGATGATAGAAATGATCAGTGTGTATATTCATCCTGTTCACATTTCAGTTCTTAGAAACATGTTGAGATAAAGTTATATTGCAGATGTTATCCATTATGAAAAACCATTTTTCATTACACATGAGGTACATTCAGTTGCATAATTGCAATTACTCTTTTATTAGTTGTTACCTCAACCATTTTGGGTTTTTTTAAATAAACACCTGATTTTTCTTTTTTGACCTTCATCAAAAGGTTCCAGTTCACATTACAGTAAAATAATAATACAGTTTAGTACATTGTACACTGTTCTACGAAATCACTAGGCTGGAAGTTAAAAAATGTTTAGCATAGTCTCTAACTTGGAGAGGTTTATTTTACTTTATTTTTTAATTTTGTTTTATTTTGATTTTAAGGTTATCTGTAATTCTAAGTATAGATTGTCTGTTTTCTTGCCAAGGCAACTATTTTTCTGGTTTTACACATAGCCTCCCACAAATCCAACTCAGTTCAGTTTTAAGTTTCTTATTTGCAAAGCTTTTTTTGGCAAATAATACTATAGAATAGATGTTCTTAGGACTTCTCAGTACAGCAGTTCTCAATTCTAGCTCCCCCAGTTCTCTTTTTACAACAGCTGTGTTAACAACCCCCCTCTACTTCCCTGGAATGAAATTCAGAGGTGATACAACCTACCTACACACATTATATTTTAAGTCAATATAATGCTCTAGCTGTAATATAAAGAAGAAATTCATGAACTCTGTATGCAGTTGCAATGTATAAATGCTCAGGCGTGACCACAAGGGATCATGGAGCAGTTTTGGGTGCTGGCACCTATAGGTAAATAGACCTCAACAGCTACAAATGCAGATAGAGTTGGGTTAATGACTCCAGTCCCATGTGTGAGCAACACTGTTGTTGACATTTTCCCAAAATTTTAGTTAGGTTATGAATAATATGAAACTCAATCGGCCTTTGATTTTTTTAATTTGGTAGTTGTCTTCTTAGAAAGTCCAGTGCATTTAAAACTGTTCAAATAATACTTTGTGTTTATTTGTAAGTCAGTTAGATTCTAGGCTCAGAAAATGGTAAACGTCATTGTTTGCTTGTTTTACTTACGTGAATGCACGTGGGGCATTTGAAGTTGGATGGCATGTAAGTGAGCCCTTACTCATGTAGGACTTCACTGTGCATTGAAGGACGGCTAGCATTCTTGGTCTGCTCCAGGTGCAACCCACCAGTTTTCAAAGCAACAAAAATGCCTCCATAGATTTCTAAACAGCCTCAGGAGCTTTGCATGCTCTGTGAAAACCACTACTGTTGACTGTTAGAGCAGGACTGATCCTCACATTATAATCTTCGTTGTACCAGGTCCTTACAGTTTATGAGTCTGACTAAAATGAAGCCACAATGAATCAGGCATTCAGCATGCCCTGCTCACCAGTGACAGAATGCGCACTTCATTACAATGATCTCTCTGGTTGTCTGTAGTAAAGATGTTTTCACAGTTGTCCAACTGCTGCCAACACTGAACTGGTTTCCGAGTTGCCTGGCCTGTTTGCATAGTTTACAGTTGCCTATAAAAGTGCAGGGATAGATTAGTGGTTTTAGATTTTGTAGTTAAGTTCAGACTTGCCTTTCTCCTACCATAGTTTCTCTTAGACTTGATTCTATATTTAAGGCATTTGTTGTACTGAACCCCATTCTCCATCCAGTGTGATTCCTCTTTAGAGGAAAAGTATAGGTGTCTTCAGAGATTAGATATTATGAATCTAAACATAAACTCTCACCTGTCGTCTGTTGATCAATGGAAGATTTAAACTTAATACCTTGTTCATGCTCTTTAATTCTTTTATGGCCCTTCAATTAGTATTTGCTTTCCTTAATGAGTAAATCCTTATGTTTTATTTTGTTTTGTTTTTACTTTCTCTTTGGTAGAGATTAACCATTCCAAGCAGTTGCCCCAGAAGTTTTGCTGAACTGTTGCATCAGTGTTGGGAAGCTGATGCCAAGGTATGTGTATATTTTTTTGTTGCTGCTGCTGTTGTTCAGAATTCCAAAATTTCACTTGTTTGTTTGGCGTTGAATTTTTAAAGTGAGATAATAAAATCTGTTACAAAGCAAAGCTGGACTGCCATTCCTGTTCCCCAGATTGACTGCGAAGGCTTTTTGTTGGAATCTATTTATCTTGATCCTTGGAAACTCAATGAAATTGGCTCTTTCTTACAGCACTCTGACATTCTTGACTCAATAAAGAGAAATTTGTTCCTTTCTTTTTCATCTTTAATGATAACTATTGCACCTTCATGTTTTAAAGATGGCCAGCGCACAGTGCTTATTATATGCCAGGCATTGTTCCAAATACCTCATGTGTATTAACTCATGTATTCCTCACAACAGCTCCATGAAACAGGTACTGTCATTACCCTCATTTGATAGATGAAGAGTTAGGGCGCATGGAGGTTAAATATTGAGCTCGTGGCCACACTGCTAATAAGTGGTGGGGCTGGACATGAACCCAGGTTGTCTGACATGAGTCCCTGCTCTTAACCACTACACTCTGTAGCCTTTCTAACCAAAGACCAGAAGTAGCACTTGGAGAGAATCTTGATGCATGCTTCCCCTGCAGCTTCAGTGATGTTTTTTAGGCTATCACAATAGAGTTGGAGAAATTCCAAAACTTTGGCTTTCATGTGGTTATCACATTTGAGCATGAATGGCCCATTTCCTTTCCCTACAAAGATCATTTTAAGAGACTCTCACATACATACGGAAATATTTATAGATAAAGTGATAGGCTAGTCTTGGATTTGCTTCAAAATAAAGTGAAGGGAAATGGGTGATGGTATAAGTGAAGTAAGATTAGCCATAATTTTTGAAGCTCTGAGTGATGGGTGTGTGGAGGTTCATTATATTATTCTCTGTAGCATTGTGTATGTTTGGAATTTTCCATAATAAGTTAAAAATAAAGATTCTCACAGATTAAACTTTACACAAGAGGTAATTATATTCAAGAAAGGAACTAAAACTTTATAGTTTCAGTTTGACCAGCTTTTCATGGAAATGGATCTATTGCATCCTGACTTTTTAAATAGAAATCTAAAAAATAAAAACTTAAGAATGGAATTTCTTCCTTAATTTAAACCCACTTCCAGTCTGGCCCTCAAGAAGAATGATAACATATAGTCTGTTCTACATGTTTATCTAGTAGGAATGACTCATAAGCAGTTGGCAAGTTTGGGAATTGTGTTAGTGTGACTCAAAATTCCCAATGAATCATATGTAAAGTTTCCCAGCACATTGTTCCGCACCACCAGGTGAGAACAGCTGGCCATTGAGTACAATAGTGTAGCCAGCAGTGCAGCGGGGCCCCTTCTCCCAAGCCTTGAGCATTTGCCTTTCCTCTCATAACCAACAGCCTCAATCTTTGCTTTTACTCCTGTTCATCAAACTGCCTTTACCCTTTTAGAAAGTAGAGTCCTATATTTACTTAGTATTGTTTTTATTAAAGAATTTAAAATACATAACTGTGTTAGTATTTTTCTTTAGGATAGCTGTTGTTTTATTAGTGTTCTGTGATGAACTTGCATAGTTTTGAATGGCCAGCCCTATCTCTGTTTTGGCCCTGTTCTTTTAGAGTGTGATTTTGCAGAATATGGGGATTTTTAAGCATTCAGAGAAACGCCTGTACTTTGTGACTGATCCAGTAGAAACTGTAAGCGGCCATTTGCAAGCTTGCTCTAGAACATTTATTTTATACTGTTAAAATGGTATCACACTACCCTTTTCAAACTATTCCTACCAGTTATATGTCCTTTATGGCATATACAGTACTTTTGTCAGTATTTTCCTCTCTGACATTTAAATAGAAATTTCACCTGAAATTATTTGCATTGAATTAGATTAGTGCAACTAGATCTCTATCGTTGTAATTGTTTCAGTATGCAAAGCAGGTTTTAAATTTCTTAATCAGAAACTCTGTGCTACTTTAATTGAAATTCTGAGAATGTACATTTATGGTGCATTAATGAAATGATAGTGTCAACACCTAACACATAGGACATTAGGCCATGTTGGTGCTGTGAAGTTGGCATGTCTTTAACATGTGCTAAGCTGAGCTTCCTTAGGACCAAAGGAATCTTGTGTTCTACCCATGTGAAATATAAAAAAAGTTTGATTGACTTTTATTTCCTAAACTTGTGACATTTTATGCTGATAAAACTAATAAATGGCCCCTGTACTTGATCCAATTATACGCCCAGCCACAGCCCCCATTCCCAGCTCTCATCGCTGAGCTCCTGCAGACACACCTCCCACACCTTCATTTTGCAGACATGCTCTCCCTTCTTTTCTTTTCTACCCTGATCACTTCACCAAGCTTCCCTGGTTATTCTGTTTACTCCAGCCCATAATTAGTGTTTCTTTTCCTAAACCACAACCTGGACTAGTGCCTTACCTTGTACTGTTGTATTTTTTAAAATATCTTTTCTTCCTGCATCAATTGCAGGACCTGTAAGGGCATAGAGCTACTTTTGACAGGTGTTTCCCTCTAGCACCTTACATAAATTGAGTATGTAGGTGCCCAATGTGTGGTTGACTAAAGTAGCCAACCCGGGTTTATTTCCTGAGAGGCACGTTTTCGTTCTCTGGCTGGAAGTATATAGCATTTCAACTGGAAGATGGTGCCAGACCTGCGCAAAGATAATGGTTGGTTAGAATATTTTCTTTTGGTTCTTAGACTTTAGGGTATTAATACATAGATTAAAATAGTGAGCTATAAAAATGTGTCCTTTTGCAATGACAATGATGAAATGTATATACAAGAGCAGCTGGTATTAGGTCAGCGTCAGGTCATTCCAGTGGCTTACCCCAGGAGCTCAAAATATTGTATTGCAGACGAAAAGGAAGCAAAGGTAGGGACTGGTTCACGTTCTCAAGTGACATTTCTAAATAAGAAACAAAATAAAAGTTAAGGCCCTGAATTTGAAAGGAAGGACTATTTTACCCTCATGTGATGAAACACTTTGAAGGGTTTAAGTGCAGGGTCCCTGGTTCTGTGATTTGCTTCCCGTATGATACCAGGCAGTTTATACTTTCCTGAGACTGAGTTTCCTTATCTATAAAATGGAGGTAGCTAAAGAAATACTGTGTGCAGATGCTTAACAAAGGGCCCTCGTCGTGATTTTTAAGTAAGCGAAGCCTACATGAAACCCAAAAGGAAACTAAGTTCCTTCAAAGGAACTTACATATAAGACCTTAGACCAAATCTTGTCTTCTGCAGTCAGAGTACTTACAAAATACTGTTACCACAAAATTCAGCATTATTGTTGCTTTGTCAAATGTTCACTTTGATCATTTCTATCTGAGAGCATATTCTAATGGTAAAATTAAGATTTTTTTTTTCTAGGGAGACTTGTCATCCAATTACAAAAGAATTTTACCTTATTTCAAGAATGATTATGTAGAAAAATACTATTCTGTAAAATGTCATTAGTTCTTTCTGCTGCTTTTTAATGCAAAATGAAAATCCTATATTTATTATATAATTTGTTCCTGTGCAAATAATTAAAATATTTTTCTTTTGCAACCTGACACATAGTGGTAGAAATTAAAATGAGAACAAAGTCAAAAGAAGACAAACAATATTTTTCAAATTTCCAACTTAAAGCAATTTCCTTTTGCTTATTAGAGGCTCGGTGTAGTGTATCAGTGACATTTTCCTACTTTGGCGTCTTCTTAAACACACACATACACACTTAAAGTAATTTTTTTTAAAAAGAACTTCGTTTATATTCCTGAGAAATGGAAAAATTTCCTTTCTTAATGTAGGAAGCACTCAAGCCCTGAGAGCAAGCACCTCAGCATCGTTCCTTCTTGGTTTTGTGCTCCTAAATGAAAATGCATGTTTTAATTGCTGCAACTGTAGTTTATTCGGAAATGGTATAATTCTGAGGCGTGATGAAGAGAGACTACATCATCATCTTATTATCTTTCTCCGTCTTGGCTGTCACCCTCTCTCAGTCTCGGCTCGAGTCTAAGAAGAGAGACTAGCGTGGCCCCTGCTAAGAAACGCGCCCGGCCGCTGCTTTTTCCTTCCCGTAAACAGTGTCTTCGCCGTTCCCGGCACCACCGTTAGTTACAGTGTGGAACAGGCCCTGAGAACAGTGAAGTTATGATGGCTTGAAAACTGGGGAATTTTTCTGAGCAACTGGTTTAGGAAATTTTGTTAGTTCTGATAGATTGATAAGTAGATTTTTCTCCCCAACATTTTATTATAAAAATTTTCAAACATCTGGAAAAGTTGAAAGAATTTTACAGTGAATACTGGTATACCTATCACCTAGATTCTACCATTCATTTGTACATGCTTGCTTTATCACATACATAGAGTTTTAAAGGACTTAACCTTTGCCTCTTAGGAGTCCTTAATTATATCCCAAAGAGAGAATTAGTACTTTCTTTACCTGGAGAAATGCTGTAATTATTCCAGCCTTAGGCCACACAGTAGGAAAATGACATGAGTCTATCCTTCTGAGTAATTGATTGAAAATAAAGAATACAGTTTCCTAAACCTGAGTAGTCTGGCAGTTGTAAAGTAACTAAATCAGAACATTCCATTGTATTTTATTTTGCTCTGGCGAGTTGAGCTCATTACTCTGCTTGTAGATTTTCTCTTGAAGATCTAGCTTAATTTCTAACAGGTGATTATCTACTTTCTCTTCTTCAGAAACGGCCATCGTTCAAGCAGATCATTTCAATTCTGGAGTCCATGTCGAATGACAGTAACCTTCCCGACCAGTGTAACTCATTCCTGCACAACAAGGCAGAGTGGAGGTAGGTAGGCCTCGTCCAGCAGGCACCTCCCCTGGCTCTACAGGACCGTGACTAACTTAGTGAAGGCGAGACCCAGAAAACTAGAGGACAGTCCTGGTTCCTAAGGATAGCTTAGAAATTGGGATTTTTTGTTTTGTCATTACATTAAAAATTTCTGGAGATCTAATAAGTCTTTCATTTCATATGTAAGCAAAAGAGAGGGTTCCTCTAAGCTTGTTGCCTTATTATATTGTCTGAGTATTTGGAAAGAACTTTGAAATCATATCTTCTGAGACAAAAGACAGTTACCAGACATTTCTCTGTGTACACTCTCTGTTAGGAAGCTTTGGCGGCTGTCCAGTGAGAAATAAAAATACTGTCTGCTTGGAAACTTGCAGAGAGCACTGTATGTTGATGGAAGAGGTAGGGAGACTATAAAAACACTTTTTGAAAGAAAACTTTAGATGTTATAAATCCCATTAAACTGTGTCAAGTGTAAAACAAGTTTAGTAATGAGAAAATGGTATTGTGTGAGTGGAAGAAGTAAGCCTGGGATGAGACATTTGAGCCAGGTCACATGATGCACGAATATAAATAGCATGTTTGGGAGCTGACATTCCTCCCTGACTCAGCAGAGATTTAAGTAACCGCCTCTCTGCTCCCGAGAACCGGGGCGGTAAGGAGACGCCGTGCGCCACCTGCCGGTGCCCAATAGGTACTGCGTGCGCTTTGAAAACGACGGAGCTGTTTTCTCCTGTTATTAGATCCGTCTTTGGGCTGTTTGGTTGGTGTTTTACAGTAACTTTATTGATATTTATTCTTTTGAAATCTCCGTCAAAGGCCAGTGAGTTCAATGAAATTTTATTTAAGGATACGAAAGTAATACTGTCTGTTCTAGTCTAAGTATGAGGGACTTTGTTCTGGGCTGAAATAATTAACAAAGCAAAACGTGTAAGTAATATTTGTTTCTTACAATGAGAGTTCAGCACAAATCTAAACAGATCACTCCCCATTTAAATCCATATAAGGGGTGCCCATTACTCTAAGGACAGAGGCCAAAATACTTAATAAGACTCATGAGATTCGCTTTACTCTGGCCTCAGAGCCTCATCTTAGGAGTATCAGTCTGTTCTTCGTTTCTGGCTTTTCAGTCCCTCAGCAGGTGCATAGTTCCTTCCTCACTCAGAGGCCTTGCAAAATGTAATTTGTTCTCTTTAAAACGCATCCCTGTTTAGAACATCAAATATATCAAGTAGATAATATTATTTTACCTATCAAACTGGTTTAAAAAGCACTGATCTTCCTCAGAGTCTGTGGACAGTGAGGCAGGCACTCTCACCATTGCTGGCAGGGTTGTAAACTGATACAGCCTCCCTGGAAAGCAATTAAAAGCAAGAGCCTTTAAAATTTTCATACCACTTGTCCAAGAAATTCCATCTCTGGGAATCTATTCTAAGGAAATAGAGATGTGGACAAAGATATATGCCCAAAGGGTTCCATGGTTAAAAATAAAAAGCATCTTTAAGGTCCAACACTAGAAAAATGGGGAATGGTTACAGAAAATGTGATCTCTCCATGAACTGTTGCAAAGCCACTAAAAATTGCAGTCATGGTGTGATATGAAAAGTCAGAATGTTATTACCTTTAGGGTATGGGAAGTGGCAGAGACATTAGCGGACTTCTGAGAGCTGATGATATTCTATGTTGTCATCTGGGTGCTGGTTAGGCAGGTGTGTTCACTTTGTGAAAATTTATTGAGTTGTACTCTCTGGATATGTATGCTTTTCTGTGCGTATGTTATCCTTCATTAAAAATTTAACTTAAAAAAATAAAAATAAATAAAACTCATCTTTGTTTAAAACACCACCCCTGATGCCAGAGAGCAGCTGAAATAACGTCTTTTAGGAAGTGTTTCCTGGCCCAGACTAGATGAGGTTCTACTTTATGTGCTCAGAGAGCATCTCCTTCGTAGCCCATTACAGGTATTGGAATTAATAAGGAATTCTACAGTTTGTTTAATGTGTGTCTCATTGGCTAAAATGTAACAAGGTCAGATCTTCTCTTCTGTTCATCACTGTATCTACAGCATCTAGAATGTGCCTTGACCATAGCAGTTGTTCAATAAATATTTGGGGAAGGGAATGCCATGGTGCTAATAATATAAAAAGACACTATGGTATCACACAAGAGAATATCAATAAGCAAGTTAATTTGTTTGCCACTACAAATATGTTCTTACATGCGTTCATTCAGATATTCATTGAACTTCTGCTGGGGTGAGGTGCCCTTCCAGATATTACGGGTTGGTGATAAGCTGAACAGTCCCAACACACATGGCATGCCCAGTGTTAAACTACTAAGTATAAGTATACAAATAATTATTTCATTACTATTTTGAGAAGTATTGTGTCAGCGAAGTACTGGACATCTGAGAGCACATAACCATGAAGTCCAATCTAGTCTGAGGATATAATTAAAGGATTCCCTGAGGAAATGCTGTTTGATCTGTTACCCAAAGGATTTGTAGGGTTTTAATGCTACTATTAATACCTTTGAGATAGTCTTTTAAAGTATATCAACAAAATTAGAAAAAATCCTGCTTTGCATTCAGCCTCTGGAAGAGTCTGCACACTTGTGAGAGAATGAGAGTAGCAAAAGCAAATCATGTCTTAATGTTAAAAAACCAATCAAACCTCTCAAATGCTTTGAAAACCTCTCATGGGTCCCCAGACTGCACTTTGAAAACCACTGCGATAGACAGAGTTACTGTTTAAAGAGCATTTTTAATTAAACTATCACACTACAGGACATGAAAAGGCATTTCACAAAAGAAGAAACCCAATGGCCAAGAAACACGTGAAATACATTCAACCTCACTTAGCAATCAAGTAAATATAAGGGAACATAATTCATTTATAAGATTGGAAAAAATTTATATTATGAAAATATCCAGTGTTACAAATTTTTTTATACATTGCTGGTGAGAAAAATACTACCTTTCTAAAGAAGGTATTCCTTTAAAAGTGAATGAGAAGATTTATGCAAGAATGTAGGACATTTCTATTGTTAGATTAATAAAACTGGAAATGGCATAAAGTGCAATAAAAGGAGATTTGTTTTTATTGTTTTTTAAAATTATTATATCTCCATTCACAGAATAGTATGGAGCAATTCATGATAATAGAGATCTGATAAATTATTTTAAATTAGAGGTTACAGTCTAGTATGTTTAGAATTTTGTAAAATAAACATATTTATGTGTATATGAGTGTGTACATAGAGAAAAGTATCAAAAGTTCTGTGTTATCATTAGGTAACGAGATTGCGGAAGAATGTTTTCTATTTGTATATCTTTATTTTTTTCTACAATAAACCTGCATTAGTTGAATAAGAAATTTAATGTTTTAAATGCTTCAAGATGAAAAGATGAGGGGAATGAAATTGGTAAAACATTATGTATTTTAGTAAAAGGTGAATAGTCGCCAAGGGGGCTGCCTCATTGGCTGTCTTTCAGGAACGAGTTTATCCTGAGAGCTGAGAGTGTGTAGCTCCTTACCTGGACCAATGAACCACTGTTTGAGACACAGCAGAGCTGTTTCATCTGAACTTGGGCATGGGTTAAAAACATGGGGAGGAATAATAATATTAATTAGAATAACAATATAAGCACAGCTGTCACGTATTACATTCTCACTGGATACTTCTACTTTATTCGGATTATCTTTTTTAATCCACATAGCAACCCTAACATCACAGATGCAAAAACCGAGGCCTGGGTAAGCTGCCCAAGATCATGTATGAGACAGAGCCAGTAGAGGAACCCAGGGGTCGGACCCCAGGCCTGCAGGAGCTCACACGCTGTGTGGTGCTGTCCCTGGGCGAGTGCCAGCGTCACGCTGTCCGCTTAGTAGCATGCCGTGTTCACTTGACCAGATTCCTTTTTAGTGAAGAGAAATATTACAAGGCCTGGCTGTTTTCGGTTATGATTAAGGTAAAACAACTATCTCACTGAGCATACCAAGTGCTGAAAAGAATTAAGTGTTTAATCAGATCATCTGGATATTTCAAAAGACGACACATTCAGACCACTCGTCTCTTTCCCCCAATGTTGTCTCGTGTCTGAAACCCTGTGACTATTGTCCAGAGCATGTGTTGTAAATTAAAGTCACAGTGAAGTCGGATTCCAGTCCTGCTCTGGTGTTTCTGGCAAAGGCTCATTTTCTGGTTGAGCTTCCTCTGTACTAAGACCAGGTGGGACATCTAGTTTTAGAAAATTAAATGACTCCGGAAATTCTTTTTGAAACTAGGTTATTAAAAACCACCTAAACTATGTTCTTTCCTTTGACCTAATACATGATAGCAAAGAAACCTGGTGTCAGACATTTCCTTGTCATCATATCTTCAGCCTGTTCTCCTCCCACTGACTTGCTAGCAATAAGTGTCACCTGGTTCAGTTTTCATTACCCGCGGGGTCGCCTGCGGCCTGCGGTAACCTGCGCGCTGTGAGCTGTGTGGCGCCGTGAGGAGCACTCGCATCTGCCTCTAGGCGAAGCGCTGTGCGTTGTGGTCTTTCTCGGTGAACAAAATACTCTCACTGTGGCGAGGCTTCTTAAAAACAAACAACAGAGATAAAAAATATTTAATCTTTGCAATTTGGATACTAGCACAAATCATTTAATACATAAGACTAAATATAACATACATATGATATACTTATCATGTAATATATACATATATAATAAAGCTGTTTTTTACTAATTGACCTTTTATTTCAAAGTGAGTTTCTGTCTAAGAAAAGAAGGTAATTATAGTTCATCACCTGTTTTTAGCATATAGAAAATTGATAGTAGTGGAAGTCAACCTTGGTTAGATTTTGTTTAGAGTAAAGCTGTAATTTTCATCAATTAAAACATTTAAACTGTGTTTTTTACAACAGGGAACTTATATAAATGCATCAACAAAAACAGGGAACAGCAAGGGGAGCAGCTGTCTTTGTTGCCCTGGGGTTTGCTATCCTTTTATGGCACAGACCCTCGAACACTGTGTCAGATCCCGGGGCGCCTAGAAGAGCAGCCTTTGGAAACTAGGCCTGAGGAAACTGACTGAGGAAGAAAATATTTACTCACTCAGTTTTTGTTTTTCTGTGTCACAGCTTTCAGCTTACCTAACCGTGGATCTGTGTTCCAGAAGGGTGCAAAATCACAGTGGGCTCCCAGAGCTAGAACTTGAGAGGAATCCTTGACTTTAAATGACAAGTGAAATCAAATATATTTGGTCATTTGCCCTGAGCAAAATGAACATCAGTGAGCTCCGTCTCCCTGGCAGGAGAGTTGGGACTGGCTTGGCAGAAGCCACTGCCATCTCGCCCCCAAGTGTCACCCCTCTTTCCCTCTCATTGACTGAAGATGGCTCTTTCTTTCTTTGTTATGAAAATTGAACCTAAGGTTTTCCACATTGATTTCTCCCCCTCAATCCTTCATTTGAAAAATAAAAACAAAATTACTTATGAATGGGTATAACATTTATGTCTGAAATATCAGGGGGAAAGTTTGAATTTTATGATACCGTCATAATTCTGGAAGATAGCTGATTTCGTTCCTTTCTTTAGGGATTATAGTGTAACTTTATTGTTTTATAATTTTCAAATGGCACCAGGGAAGTAAAGTGTCAGACCCAAATCTAGACCCATCTCAATAGCTGTTTCCTGAGTTGGGACTTGCCCATGATTACCCAGAATCGTTTTGTTTTCATTCACTTAGTTATCATCTCCAAGGGCATTGAAATAAGCTGTCCATTTATTCTGAATTTCCCTGGAAATAAAAAAAGGCATATTTTGGTTACGTATATTCATTAGTTTAAATCTGTGGGTCCTACTTTGCACAGACAAGGTCTCAGCCAGAATTTCCGAGTCCGCCATGCAGGCTTGTCTTAGTGGCACCTGGAGGCAGCTGTTGCACAGTCACCTCTTTCCGGCCTCTCCCTTCTCTCTGTGCCTTCTGCAGCCCTTCTTCCCCTGGCTTCTGTCTCCTTCATGCCATCTCTGTCTCCCTCTCTTTTTCTCTCCTTTTTATCATTACTGTTGCTTTTCTCACAGTCTCTTCAGAAACTCAAGGGAAAGAACATCCAGCTCTCAAAGCATAAATTTAGACTTAAACATGACAGCCCTAAAGGAGAACAAAAATTGCACTGGGCCATCTTACCAGTTTCAATTTCTGTAAAGGACAGGTCTCTATAATGGGTCATATTGTTCCAAGTGGTGAGGTTGGTCAGCCTCTAGAGACTGAGGAGGGAACTTTCTTGTAAAATTATTAAACAGAACCTTGGAGTACATATCACTTGGGATTTCCTACATTTGCCTGATGGTAAAAAGTTTCTGCATCTTTATTAAATAATGGAAATTCCTGGGCCCCACCCAACCCTACTGAGTCATGAGCTCTAAGGAAGGGTCTTAGGAATATGAGTTTTGTTGTGTGGTTTAGTTTGTTTTTTTGACAAGCTGTACAGGTAATTATTAGGATCGTGCAGGCTGGGAATCCCTGGTGTAAGACAACCACCACCCCTTACAGTCAACTTAATCAGCTGATGACCGGAGTCCCTGGGCCAATGGACAGGCGACATGAACTTACTAGCGGTGGGACATCGACCACCTAACTTGACTATGGTTTTCTCGCCTCTCTCTCTATGAGATTAGCACCTGTTTCTTGGGACTGTTGTGAGATAAGATGAGCTAATATATATTGTGCTTTGTAAATTGTAAAGAGCTAGATGAACGTAAGCATTTATTAGCTGGCTAAACCAGAACACCAGCTCCACAGCTTTGCCTGCACCCCAGGGGCTCTTCAGTGCTTTGTTCGAGTAGCGGAGCTTATTTTTCCAGACTGGAAACTACCCGTTGATTGTGAAGGCGGCAACAGCTTTGTTACTCTCTGATAGGGTGCTGTTTGGTCTAAAAGCCTGAGCTTTAGCCGTTTGCCTGGGTTGAGGTTCTGATGCGCGCACGTAGCATTTGGCACGTCCCGAGGGGGCCGAGGCTTAAACCAGGTGTCCCCGTGCAGGTGCGAGATTGAAGCAACCCTGGAGAGGCTGAAGAAGCTGGAGCGCGACCTCAGCTTTAAAGAGCAGGAGCTCAAAGAACGGGAAAGGCGGCTGAAGATGTGGGAGCAGAAACTCACCGAGCAGTCCAACACCCCGGTGAGTGCTCCCCCGGGCTCCCCTCCCCGGAGGCACGGCTGAGCATGCGCATGGCTACCCCCCCTGCCGCCCCCCCTGCCACCTCCTCTCCTCCCGCCTAACGCCTGTGTGTTCAAGGGCCACACTTACGCTCAAGGAGAGCTCATGTCTCATTCCAGCTAGCAAAATGCCAGACATTTAGAAGAAAAGCTTATCCTATGTCTGGCTCTTTCCCTAAGAACTGTTATTCCGTCAGTGTGTTCATATATTAGAATTACAAAAATAAAATCCATTGTATTTTCACCCCATCTGCTAGATCCCAGAGCGTGTGCCTTAATGCTTTTAACTCATTAAAGTCCGTCCATGAATACGTGTAACACCAAGGCAGTTAGTGGTCTAAGAAAGTCTTTGATGTGTCGGAACTTAACCAAGTTTTTCTTCTAAAAGAGAGCTAATTTAATGACATATAAACGAAAAGCATTAATGTTCCTTACTCAATTTAGCGTTACGATCCCGGGCAGTAAAAGACTGGAAAAAAGACTTCTCTTGGGACAAGCTTCCAATATTTATTACACCCAGGAAATATCTCAGTTTATTCCAAGTCTTATAATTCGAGGACGATAAAAGTTCTTTTTAAGGATTTTGCTATTTATATACTTACCTTGAGCTAATGTGTTGACATGATATATTAAAGTCTAATCAAATTTCAGCATTCTTTTCTATTTTAAATTATCATTTTGGAAATGAAGTATAAATTTATCATTGGCTTTTCTAGGGTTTTTAATGGGTCATATTTGTCCACTTTAAAATCACAAGCAAGGGTAGGATTAAAAGTGCATTTGTTATATATTTTAAATTTATTCTCCATAGTTGCTATGGCAAGTATACCAAAAAAAAAATAATACTTAAAGGCCCTTCACTTTGTGATCTTCCAAAAGCTTTCCTATTTTTAAAACTCTTAATCTCCATTAAGCAGCCAGTGCCCAGTTGCGAAGTATTTTCCAGTGTCTAGAGAATAAAATAGTTTGCCTCCTTTTCCCGTTTACGTGGAGAAGCAACCCGATTCCCAAAAAAGGGAAAATACAATGAAGGCAAATGTTTATTAGCAGATTTAACTTTTTCAGAAATGACTTCGGTTATTCAGGGAATCCCAAAGTAAGACCTGAATTGCTGGACATGAGACTATCATGAATATTAAAAAGGTGCCACATCTGATAAGTTCAGTGATTTAACTGGGCTCCCGAGAAAGCAGCCGAGGGGCGCTTCCGTCGGGCTGAACTGACCCCGGCAGGCAGCTGAGACGGCAGCGCTCTGGGCCTGGAAGGAGCGCTGCCTTCCCGGAGCTGAGGAGGACGTGTGGCTTCTTGAGAGGGTTTTTAAGTGCATTGAAATCTTAAGCTACAGAGCATTGCATGGCTTGACTCTAAATGTAGCATTGTAAGGACAAACTTGAAACCACCTATAGAGTGCTTTAGAACCTTTCTTTGGTTTGTTGGCATTCGTTTTGCTGAGAACTTGTGGGCCGCCTTGCACACATCCTTGCTGTTGTCAGCAGCGTCGTGGCGTAGTGAAGGATGAGACACTGCGTGCTCAGTAGGCTGTGTGCTGCACTCTAACTGCAGGCAACTTGCTGCAAAGGACCGCTCCGAGGGCCACCGTCTAACAATGGCCTGCATGAAGCACAGCGCAGCCAGGGTTCCTCCCTTTTCTTACTCGAGAGCGCTAAGTTTTCTTTCTTTACATACCTGCTTTTAATGTCTCTTCTGCGTAGAGCTGGTTTCCCTGAAGGAAAGAAAGTTTGTGCTCAGGTATTTTATAAATAGGTATTTTCTTTAATCCTCACATCAGTTTCTAGATGACTTTAAAAGAGGTTTCTGAGAGAAAGATAAAATAAACCTTTTGAAAAGGAAGTGACTGGGGGTTTAAGTTTCCTATAGGTAGCCTCATCTTAACTATAGAAGTTTAACATTGACATATGTCATTTAAAATTGTATTATTGGATAAACTATTTTCTTCCTTGAAATTAAAACATTAGTTAAAGATATTTGGGAAGATGAATTCTCTATACATAATATGAACGTTTATTTTTTAATCATTATTGTAGCTTGATGTAAATACTTTTTTATTTTATTTTATTTTTTTAGAGTAAAAGCCTATTTGAGAGACATCTATTGAGATCATAACATAATTTGAGGAAGGACCCATGACATAATAAAATAAATAATCAGGAAAGAGTTTCTCGAGAGCATCTAACAGTTGAACTTTGACAAGGAAAACAATATCCTGTTTCCAGTGTTAAAGGATCGTTAAAGGATCTAAAGCAATTTTTTTCTCCTATATAACTGGTTCTTTTTAGCTGAATTAGCTGAAGTTCTTATTGAATCAACAACTTCAGAAGTCTTTTCTTAGTAGAGTAGGATATTTTAAAAAATTGAGCCCAACTTTAATTTGAAAATTAGGAAATTGGCCCCCCCAAAAAGTTTCTTTACACCCAGAATGTAAAGGTCACTCCAAAGTTATATATTTGTACATTGTTTGTCATGAATTTACCCATATTTAAACAACACCCAAAATATAAACCTTAATTTGCATATTTCTCAAAAAAAAAAAAAAAGGCAGTAACACTTTTCAGAGTCAAATAGTTTAATTCCCAAAATGAATCTGACCAACATTTATGGAAATAGGTTGGCCATTCAAAATAATTACATTAGATAGAAAAATAAGTGTCATATGTACTGTGAGAAGGAGAATTTCTAGAAATAAAATTATGCTAAAAGGAGAAAACTTATATAGTAGAGAATAGAGAAAAAAGTAATAATCTAAATTAACTAATTTCCTTTCCTCCCAATTTTCACGTGTTTATGTACTTGTTTATAACATAAATATTAGAGACAGAATGTAGAATTTGTTCACAAGTAAATTATTTCATAAATCAAATAACTATTATTATATCTCGGTGTAAATCAAAACAAGTGAATTCTAGCCTCATTTTTAGTTTAGAATCAGATACTAATCTAGCTAAAAAAGTAATTAATAACCCACATTTTTCTAGAGCTATATTGACTGCTGAGCTGTTTTCACGCTTCCTCTAAGCTTTTCTTCTTTGGTACAAGGTTTCTGGATTTTTACTTGAGACTTCGGCTCTACTTAACTTCTTTTTTAATAAAATAGTTAACTAATGTTTCTCTGTGAAAGTGAAATTGGGAAAAATTAAGAGACATCCTAAAAATTATTTTGTTTTAAGCAAAATGAGGGCTTAAAAGTTGCCGCTTCCTTCCCATTTGGAATGCAGCTTGAGACGATGCTTTGCAAACTTTTGGTTGTGATTTATTCTGTCCTTTATAAATTACAGCAAATACCCTGGTGCCAAACGTGCCAATAAATAAATTCTCGTGTAATTCCCTGCATTCATTTATTTCCCTAATCATTTACCTTCTGTGCAGTGCCCGCTAATTTTGTGGTATCTGTTTCCTTTGTTTAAATTGGTCCTAATTTCTCTTTTTACTTCTGTCCTTTCTTCCCTTGTGATAGCTTCTCTTGCCTCTTGCTGCAAGAATGTCTGAGGAGTCTTACTTTGAATCTAAGACAGAGGAGTCAAACAGTGCAGAGATGTCATGTCAGATCACAGCAACAAGTAACGGGGAGGGCCATGGCATGAACCAAAGCCTGCAGGCCATGATGCTGATGGGCTTTGGGGATATCTTCTCAATGAACAAAGCAGGAGCTGTGCTGCATTCTGGGATGCAGATAAACATGCAAGCCAAGCAGAATTCTTCCAAAACCACCTCTAAGAGAAAGGGGAAGAAGGTCAACATGGCCCTGGGGTTCAGTGATTTTGACTTGTCAGAAGGTGACGATGATGATGATGACGGTGATGATGAGGATAATGACATGGGTAATAATAGTGAATGAAAGCAGAAAGCAGAGCAATAAAGTTGAAAATGTTTGGAAAGACAAAATAAACTTGTTATCTCAGTCTGTACAAAAACCAGGAAGGAGGCAGAAAACCCAGCACTGTATTTGTAGGCCAATTGCATTTATATGGCAGTCATTTCTTTATTGATTTTACTTTTGGTTTTGCTTACAGAAAAAT